AAAAATCACTATTCATCAAAATTTCAGAAACTTGCCTATCCACTCGATTTTTCGTTCTGAATCCGTTTCTGGCCTTATTTTTACCATTTGAGACCTTCTACTCGATTTTTCATGCCTAGGGTTACGTGTTTGGTAAATTACCATTTTGCCCTTCTTATACATTTTGACCTTAATCTCAGGATTTTCACTGATCCTAACCTTTTAAGCGACATTACCATCTATAAATATAGATTTAGAACTACGAGGTGTTATAGCTTGAACCATTAAGTTTTTAATATGCTGACTTCGTTCACCTTATCACATGAGAGGTTTAATCAATTTTTCCTAAACCAATTAACAGACCAACCAAATGAAACAAGGAGCTATTTTTTCTATACCAAACTTCTAGTCACATCATTTGGGCATGAAAAAATAACAAGTTAGCATGCTGTATTCGGTTCTCCTTCACATATGCAAGATCAAATAGTTTTGGTCCTCTTCAAAAACGGTTCAAGGCTGTTGAGGAGCTCTATTTCCAGCTCCCAAAGAAATCAATTTCAGTTTGCATAACTAACTTCATGGTTGTTTACAAAAGTTTGGTTTAAGGTTTACAAAACTTCATGGAGGCAGAATCTAAAGGAAGTAATTAGCCCGAATAAAACGTTCTCCACTTCTTGTAATTTAACCGGTTCTCATAGTTCCTAGACTAGATGGATTTTCTGACTGAAAGTTAACACATCAATTTATTAACAATGAGACATCCAAGTGCTCTAATACATCCAGGTTCGGTGTGGACCGTTATAGGTGTTCATAATTTATTTAATTTCATAACCATTCCTAATTAATTGCATTATATAATCATTCTTACAAGACCCTATGCGTGCTACGCTGGCTAATAAGCATGCTGTAAATTTACTTAGACCCATACAAAGCTGAATGTCTCAACTAGTCCACCAAACAGTCTAACAAAGCTCAAAGGAAACTATTTCCATACACCCAAAACCGGTCCTTCAAGCTAGTACATACCAAAAGTTCCCATGTAACAGAGATAAAAGTAATTTGAAGGAAAAACATACATTCTCCTAGCCTGCCCCCAAAACCGAAACAGAGAGGGTGATGAGTTTTGGTTTAAGTTTGGTTACCTTCTAGACTACCACCCATACTTTCCAATCGAACAAAGCACCGCCCTTTACTGGTTCCTAAGCTTCAATGACTTGAACCCAGTTGCTTGCAAGATAAAAGAAAGGCTCCCTCACGGCTGGTCATAAGCATGCAAGGGAAGAAAGAAAACAAAACAAGAATTTATCAAGGTCTTTTTATCTACAAACAGCGGCTGGAACCAAGAGAAGAGGAGAATTTGAGTTCCTCTGTTACCTCTTTGCAAGTAAACAAAGTTCCACAATTCGGTCAAGTAGGTGGTCTCCAAGGTTGATGCTAAGGTCCTTACCCTTCTACTCTCCTAAAGCCACGGTTTTGGTCACATGCAAGGGGTTTGTCTACTCTTCAAGGACTAAATTCACAGCTCATCTCCTCAAGTTTCTCTTCAGCCGAACCAGTGGATGGAAAAAGGAATGGGAAGTTGGATGATGGGCTTCCCTTGTGGAGCTCACGGTCTTGGAGGAGTAGGTAAGAGGAGGGTCATGCAAGCTTTGCCTCCTCCATTTGTGGTTCACGGCCTTGAGGGGTGAAAGGAGAGACACGCAAGCTTTGGTTCCTTCTATTGATGGTGTACGGTTGGGAGAGTGGAGGAATGGAATAACCGGTTCTGTGCCATATGAGTATGGCTTGTTGGTCTACCAAAGGTCTTGGCCGAAACATGGAAGGGAACTAAATGGAGGTCAGATTTTTAGTCTAAGAAAATGGAACCCGTGACCATGGAGGGCTTGGCCAAACCATAACAAAAGAGTCCAAGTGCCCAATGGTTGTACAAGTGGCGCACATGCAAAAGGATAGGAGAGATCTTGTTTGACACATACTCGGCATGCATTGGCTGATTGGGTTTGGAGGATGAAACATGAAATCAGAATTATTTTCTCTATATTATGCGCGTGAAGGGGAGTGTAAGGGCAGAATAAGATTTGGGCTACTTGATATCCATTATGGCCCTTGGGCCGAGTCCATTCGTACCCATTGGTCTCCTAAAATTAGTTTCCTAAGGCTCATTTATCTCACTTCATATAGTAATAGTTATTATATATTTTATATCCATTAGGTAGCAACTAAGATTTTCTTTACCTATTTTGTACCTAAAATTAATCCCATCCTCTTAACTAGAATTTTAATTTCTTAAAACACATACTCACACCTAATTATAGTTAGCATAATTTTTCATGACTTGAATTAAATCCACCATATATATATATATATATATTTCGAGTTCAAGGTAAGCTTCCATGTTCCTAACTAAATTACATAACTTCCTATATTTGCGGGATGTTACACAACCGATAGAGTCCAAAAATGAATAAATGAAGTGATAAGTATATGGAAGTTAAATATATGTCAAACAAGTCATTTTTAGACCAAAAATGATAAGTTTAGAAGTTTTACGATTTTGCGTGTAAACAGTGCACGTTTAGTGATTCACAGTGCACAGTTAGTTATTCACAGTGCATTTCGTCAAAAGCAGTGCAAAAACGCAATTGTCATTTGTTAGTACTTTTCCGTAGGGAATAAAAGTGAATGTAAACGAGCTCCGCAAAATAAAATTATACTCGTAGCTTTGAGTTAATAACGGGTCAAGTTAAGTGAAATTAAGTGAGAAGAAAACACTTGTTAATTGGCCACATGTCATATAAGTTTAAATGAATTGAGAGAGAGAGACACTATTCACTCACCCTCTTCCTCTTCTCTCTCTTCTTGGCCGAAACCCCCCTCTCCTTAGATGCTTAGGTTTTCATTTTTTCCTCCTTTGATTTCTCCTTCCAAACTTAACCAAATGCACAAGGTTATTACCCAAAATTTATAGAAAATCACCCAATGAATTCATTCCACCGCTTATTTTGGGTTGAAATTGCTTGTGTGAAGAGTTCTTCCCTTCTCCCAATTCATGGTACTATTCATCAAGAAGAGAAAATGTGAAATTTGATGAGGCCAAGCTAGGTTTTTGTTCCTTAGACCTTGTACAAGTGATTGGAGGTAAGAAATCTCTATTCCCGTGGTTTGATTTTCATGATTTATGTTTCGAAATTTATGAGCATGTTTTGGTGGGAAATTATTGAGTTTGAAATTTGAATTTGTGTTGAATTATTGATGGATATGTAGTAAATTGAGATGAACATGTATATGAGTGTAAGTTTGGGAAAATCCCATTGAAACCCTCCTATAGGCTTCGGCCATGGTGTTCCCTAGTAGGGTTTGTTGTGCAAAATTTAATCGTACACTTTGTGAAGGTTTATAACTATGTGTATGTTGTGAATTAAGTGAGTAATTGAAGGTACAAAGGAAAAAAAGTCCAATGTGACCTTTCCCTTAGGTTTCGGCCTTTAAGGTTAATGTAGGGTTGAATATGTTAAAATTTGTTTTGATGATGTATTGAGGTTCCAATGTATTGCATTAGTATGATTATGAATTAAAATGACTTATGAAATTATGAGAAACATCTTGGTTCCCTATATGTTCTGCTCGGCCTTGTGAAGAAAAAATAGGCATGAGTTATGTTTAAATCGTTAAATAGATACATAGATAACTTAGGGACCAAGTAAGAATTCTAGGAACCATTGGTTGTGTGAATTGAAGAGATGAAAATCCTTGGCTCTCCTTAGGTAATGGCTTTATCTTTTTAGGATTTTTGGGGCTAGGAGGTGTTGAAATTGGTGAAAGGTATCTTAGAGACATGATTGTGTCATTCTAAGTATGTGCATAATTTGAAACCATGTAATTGCTTGTGGAACAAGTAATCTCCTATATGTGGTCTAAATAATAAGTTTTAAGAAAAAGTGGCAATGACTTGTGTATTGACATATGATTGGCATAAAGGATTAAAAGCAAAAAGTTAGCTCGTATTATCGTAAGCTAATGCAAGATTATAAGTTAAGTCTTCCGCTTACACATGTTTTAGTATCATATATATGTTAATTGAACCGGCTTGAGATGAGGATGTTACAATAGCTGGTGCGATCAGTGGCCGATTGAATTGGTGGTGGTGGTGGTAGTTGTGGGGGCTGGTGTCAATGGGTGGTGATGATGAGGTGCTGATAATTGCCAATGACAATTGTGGTGGTGGCTTGAGGTGGTGGTGGTTGGTTGGTTGGTTGTGGTAGCAGTGGTCAATGACAACGACGATAATGGTGGTGGTGGTTGGTGTGATAGTGGTAGGTGAGGGTGGTTGGTAGAAGCGGTGGCGATGAAGGCTGCTACTTGGAGGTTAGGGATAGCGGTAGCTAATGGCGATGGTAACAATGATGGTGGTGGTTGGCATACTTGGTTGCAAGTGGAAGTTGTGATGGGTGGTGGCGTCAGTGCTGAGAGTGATTACTAGCAATTGTGGAGGTTGATCGGTGATGTGAATGATTATGTCTGGTGGTTGAGGGTGGTTTAGCTAGTGACAATGGTTGTGACTAGTAATTCATGATAATGGGCGGTGGTTATAATGGTGGCAGATGGATGATAATGGCTATAGTAAAAGGTAGAGGTGGCTGACGGCCAGTAACAGTGGTTATAGCGGCTAGTCGGTGGCAAGGGCTGACCCTCACGTATCTATATATTTTTGATTGTAGGTTTAATAACGTTGTTTTTGGTTAGTTGTTTGTTTATTGTGACCCTGTTTATTCACCTTAAAAAAAAATCCAGAAAGGGCTACATGTAAAGGCAAGAATGAAATGATTCAGTCATACGAGAAAAAAAATATAAAAATAATTTCAATTGATTCTACACCAAAATAGTAGGTCCTAATATTATTGCTTTTATGTCTATCTATCATAATATGGGAGAATTTAAATCTTATGGAACCGCTCTTTCAACATAAAAGTCATTGTCAAAGCAACAACAGGACGACATTAGTCTTGCCATTAACAAAACCTACGTTATTAAAGTTTTTTGTTTTTCTTACAAGGCACAACATTTTGGATGAATTTTCCACTGTTAATTCTATAAATTGCTCATTTCCTCCAAATTTTAGTAGTGTCAACACAAGATTACCTTATATGCCCACCTAGTAATTGACATTCCTCCATTCTCCAAATAGGAATACAGTATATTAAGATCCCTAAAAAGAATGAGGCACATATTGTGATCATAGCATACGTGTATGCTCTCCAAGTGTGCATCCCTTCCCTCATTGCATTGAACTCAGCAACAAAGGTTGAGACAGTACTCAAACAACCCAATAGACCAAACTGTACGCCTGTAACAATAGTATCACAATCCCTGTTGTTCACCTGCATCAAACATGAAAGATATACTGATTACAATCTCCAAAATTATGATGAAGATTCTTGATTCTTTAAATATGAGATCCATCATATCAAAATAATAAAAAAGGAAGACTAATATGGCAGTAAATGGGTTATTTGCTACATTTAAGGCACATAAATAGTATCACTCTATAAACGGACGGCAGAGCCAGTATATTTCATGAAGTGGGATAAAATTCCAAATGTAATATTCTTTGTAAGTTATAATTATCTATAAGAATAAAAAAACAAAGATGATACTCACAATTAAAGACTTGTATAAAATTGAAGGGGAGCGATCATTATCTATGATCAAAGATAACATAGCTAACAACTCACAACTCAATATATAAATTTGAAGGGAGGTGACTGCACTCCCTAGCTCCTTCCTTACTCCACCACTACTGTAAGCCCCTGTTAGTGCTTATGACATACCTTGAGGGGCGGAGTCGGAATAAAAAAATTGAAGAAATTTTTTTTAACACGTGGTAATAAGCTGAATCTGGAGTAGTTCTGGTGAAAGTCACTTATCATTTACCTTTGCCTCTTAATAGTGGATGCTTCATGTGCCTGGTGCCACAAGTTACGTGGGTTGCATAGGAAAGGACAAGTTTGGGGAGGAGATGAAGAAGAACTATAAAATTGCTGGTGTAAATGGAAGTTTATTCTTGTGATTTGTCTTCTCCTTTCTTTGTCATCTGCTACTCTGTACTGAACCTTAGAATCCAGTTTCTGAAGTTAACTTAATCATTGAACAATCAGGTTCACTATTATGAAGACGAAAATACACCTACGGGAACTTGTGCTGTTTGTGTGGTTGGTGGTGAAAGGACAGACAATTAAGCTTCCCTTGAGTTTTTTTATTTATGTTGCTATAAAAAAAATTATTTTCGCCCCCCAATTAGGAATCCTTGCTCCGCCACTGCATACCTTAAACATGGCATGTCCCCATAAAGTTTTCTATGTACAGTTGTTGTTAGATATATATATATATATATATATATATATATATTGGGAAATTATACTCTTATGTTACATGATATTCATCTCTCATGTTACACTCACATAAAAAGATGTGCCTCACTTTTTTTCTTTTTCTTTTTTTAAAAATTGATGGGCCCCACTTAATTTATCTCACAACATAAGATAACTTCTCTCCTATAACATGAGAGAAGTAAATCCCTATATATATATATATAACAACCACTAATGTAACCTTACTCACCAGCTTAAGTTTTTGAGCTTAAGTTTTTTAGTTGAATTGGTTCTTTACATGGTATCAAAGCTTCAGTGACCATAACGTCACGAGTTCAATCCTTACTGCCCCCACTTTCTAGTGGAATTAAATAAAAGCACAAAAGGTAAACCAAAAATTGAGTCTGTGCAATATCCACACTTCAAGTCCAAAGGGCTCTTGCATGAGAAAGTGTATTAGAGAGAATAATATAAAGCATTAAAAAGACACTTACCCAATATCTTAGGTTTTGGGTTGAAATGGATATTTACATGGTATCAGAGCCTTGGTGTCACTGGTTCAATCCTCACTGTCCCTTACTTTCTCTTGTGGAATTTCTTAACGCAGGTAGGTAGGCCTGTGCATGTCCACCCTTTAAGCCCAGTGGGCTCTCGTGTGAAAAGGCGTGTTAGATATATATAAAAACCATTAATGTAACCTCACTCATCGAGGGCGGTGAGGATCGAACCCGTGACACCGAGACTCTGATACTATGTAAATAACCAATTCAACTCAAAATCTTCAGATATCGGGTGCATGTCTTTTTAATACTTTATATTATTCTCTCTAATATTTGTACACACCGAAAAAAGTATATATTTTCTAGTGTCATATGTTGATGAGAAACCCAATTCATCAATATAAACAAACGGTGGTCTAAAAAACTACTGATTCTATGAAAACCACGTTAGAGCTAAGCAAGTTCAGACAGTAGTGAAATGAATCATATTATAAAAACTTACAAACTTCTTCGTTGCAGCAAGTGCAGCCATGATGCAAGCAGCAGAGACATTTGCAATTAGAGTCCCAAATGGAATCCATTTCAATAAACCTGTTGTTCCTAATCCGCGTCCATTAAGTCGAGCTAAGAGCCACCTAATCCACACACCTAGTGGTCCAACCATGCAAGCAATCCACAAGTGAGCATGATTTCCACCATGTTTGAACTCAGCATTCACTAAAACACCACTAACACCCCATAACAAGCCTAATATCAGCAGTAACACCACCATAACTGCTATGTGATGCTTTAAGCCTTCTGCATTCGCATTGATCTTGAATCTACAATTTTCACTTCCTGAACTCATCTTTAGCCTTCTGAGAAGCCACCTAAAACCCTTGGCAGTTTCAATCCCAAATATGACGGAAAAAGCAACAAGAAAAAATCCTGCAGAACTCCAGTTGCTCAAAACTCATCGTACAAACTCATGTTCAGAATGTGATAAATATGACATTGAATATGAAGTGAAAAACACAACAGAAAATGTCATAATCTAATGTATCAAGCACAGAATCTAGCATTAGATATTACCTATAAGAAAACCAAGCACAGAAAAGAGCCAGTGCCCAGAAACACTGAGTTCTAGCATTTTCTGATTCCAACCACTGAACGTTGTTAAACTCCCTAAGTAACCAGTTGTTAGTGCAATATCCAGATACTCTGACACATTTGATATGTCTGCTTTGAATACCACTCCAAACCATCCCATCATAAAAGAACCAACCTAGAAAGATTTTTCAGATAATTTGCATCAAGATATAATCAGAATCAGCATAATTTCATGTTAATAGCAAGGTTAAAATTATCAAATTGACTCTACTAATGCAAGACTTGAAAGTTGAAACTACTTTGCAAGTGTAATATTATACTAAAAGGCACTGTTGTATGTCCCCAGAAAACACGTGTTTAATTGATGTTGGGTAAATAATATGAAACTTCAGTTATAGGTAGATAAAATACGGCACAAAGAAATGGACATTAGAAATCAAACATCCTAGACAAATTAATGTTCTGTTATGAAGGAAGAAATACTAGAAAAAGGAATAATACAAACATTACTTATGTGATCCATATATATATGTATATATGAGAGAGAGAGAGAGGCAACGGAAAAGAGTGAGGGAGAGAGTAAAGAAGGGAGGAAAGTAGAGACCATATTAGAAGGCAGGTCAAGGTAAAGAATAGTTTGGTCACTTGTCACATGACCAACCCTGGGGCCGAATAACTCGCCAAGTATGTATCTTGTTAATACCTGCATAAAACAAGAAAGGGGTATTAGTATAATGCTGATCAGTAAAGTTCTTAATATGAAACTACGATAAAAAAAAAATGTATCATCGAGACATGCAATTTGGCCTGTCAAGAAGAGACTTCATCAAGTCTTGAGCATCGCTTGTCATGAAATAATCAACATCAACTTCAACATCACCTCAATCCCAAACTAGTTGGGGTCAAAAAAAGAGATGCAACATGAGGACTTCTCAGGAGGTCAGGTCATCCTAATATTAGTCTCACCCAAGCATGCTTAATTGCGAAGTTCTGTGGAATCCGGTACGTGAATTAGTGCTAGTATGATTGCAACAGAAAAAAAAAAAAAGCTAAGGTTACAATGTATGTAAAATATTTGTTGATTGTGTCGTAAAATAGTTTAGAGTGTCTTATCTCTTAATAATAATTTTTTTATTTATTTACATTTCATTAAAGGGCAAGCCTTGGAACAAGGGTAAGATTGTTCTTTGTAACTAGAAAGCCAAAGAGTGTGGGAAATATCTTCTTTGCAAAAATACAAGGATAAAATTGCTTACAATTGGCCCTGACCCCCATGCTATCTTTTCTTCCTTCGGAGTGCCATAAAATCGGGAACTCCACTTTTAGCTCCATAGCTTTTTTCTTCCTTCATTATAGCCCGTCTCTCCTGCAAGCTTTTCTTCTGTCACCGTCTCTCTTTATTTCCATTGTGCCACTATTAATGTTGTTTCTCTCTTAGTTAAAGGTTTTTCTCCTGCCACCATCTTGTCTCCAAAAGCCTTAAATTGTTTCATGCTATCCGATAATATTTCTATGAACTTTCTAGCTAACTGCGATTTATGCCAGCTGTAACACCCCGTTCTAGAACCGGTTTGTTAACATCGCATTATGATATTAAGCGCAGTTACAATCACATGGGTTCAATTAAAATCCGGATAAATTTTTCATTTTAAAACGTACTGAACTTATAATACCCAATTTCGTGATCATAACCATATTACCTTGCGGAAACAGATAAATTAAGCTTAACATCATGTTCATTTCCCATTTTTAAACCATTAATTTACTTCTTGTTTAGTTCAATACTTCTACTATATTGTAGGTTTCTTCATTAGCTACCCGTGGCTTCAAACCGTGCTCAAATCGGAGCACTGTAGTCCAAGTTAGGACAATTTGAAGCAACACAAGAGAGTGTTGGTCACAGGCCCCGCGCGCTTCAGCGCGCTACCGGGCGCTCAAGCGCGCGCTATCGGGCGCTAAAGCCTCCATCCGGGCGCTTCAGCGCATGGAGGCAGTAAGCATCAGGCATTCTAGTGTGGATGGGCGCTTAAGCGCGCAACAGGGCGCTCAGGCGCGCTATCCTGGGCGCTCAAGCTCCCACGGGGACGTTTTAGCGCGCAGAGACAGAAGCATCTCCTCCTTCAGTGGCGAAGGGCGCTTAAGCGCGGACCAGGGCGCTCAAGCGCGCAACCCTGGGCGCTTAAGCCCCACCCTGGGCGCTAAAACACGAGGGGGCAGTAAGCCACCCAACTTTCTGCAGCAAAGGGCGCTTAAGCGCACGCCAGGGCGCTCCAGCGCGCAATCCTGGGCGCTTCAGCCCCCACTTGGGCGCTCCAGCGCAAGGAGGCAGAATGCATTGGCACTCGCAGGGGCAGCAGGGCGCTTGGGCGCGCTCCTGGGCGCTTAAGCGCGCTGCCAGGGAATTCCAATTCCCACATTTCTCAAGTCCAAGCCTAGGGGAAAATGCATCCTCATTACAAACCCCAATTGCCCATGCCCCAAAACTAAATCCTAGCACTCATCCAACCTCTCCTCATGAGATTTAGCTAGAATTTAGGCAGCATGACCATTGTTTTCTCATCGTTTACCAGTTTAAACAAAAGGGTACCTAATTGAATTTCAGCCCAACCAATTCAACAACTCAATACATAACAAGCATGCATATATTGAATTTCATGTAGGCATCATTTACATTACATATCATTTACAAATCATAGAACTTAGCTTACAAAACACTATGATCATTCCCTTGGCTCCCATCAACAAAAGGTGTAACCAAAGGCATGAGCATAGGCTAAGTTCATCCAATGAATCAAGATATACAAATGACCATGGGCTTTCAAAATAAAATCCTATACATGTCAACTACAAAAGGCATGCATAAACTCAAAGAAATGCCATATTTCATGCATAATCCAGATATGGCCACTTGCCACCAGAGGCTCCTGCAGCATCCTTACCTGAAAGGGGGTCCCCACAACACGGGGTGAGATATACGAATATATCCAGTAAACCAGGGGTCCTTGGAGCATCTCTCCACCCCACAGTTCCATATCAGTGTAATAGCAATAACAATAATAATGCAGTAAATACATATCTATGCAAAGTGCAATACATCTCCAGGAGAAATCCCTCGAGCTCTCAAGCTGTCCTAAGGAAACTCAGATGCAAATAGTCCTACTGGCCAGCTAACTACCAAGTATGATTTACGCATCGTCATGCAACATACCAACATAGGGAAACACCATCCTATGCCACACCAAATGCATACACATACGTATAACAAAGCATTACACTATTTTATTGCATTTATATACACAATCACAACCTCCACCCTTTCAGGGCTTGGTAGAACAGTCAAGGGAATTACACCCAAGGTCCGAAGGCTTACCTCAATGCTTCAGTCAACCTTTGTTCTTCACCAACAGTTTCAGCAATCAACTTTTACAAACATACACCTACACATGGTGTAATGCAATCAACACATTGCATCCAAGAGTATTTCACAATCAACCATCAATTACTCAATTCAAAGCACAACACAAGTATGAGCTTACCAATTCCAATGAGCTATTCAAGCTCCATAGCTTGCTCCAATGGTTGATCACTCACGGTTGGTCCAAATGTCTCAATCCTAGACATCACAAGGATCCAATCAATCATTCAACTCACTAATTGTTCAACATGCTAGAATACTAACCAATCCAAGCATGAATTTTCCAATATTATGAACAATTATCAAATGACTATCTAGGCTCATTTCCACCGATTAAATGACATTCCTAGCATTTTCCATAACATGCTCTAAGCTCCATTCTTCCTAGAACATAGCTAATTCAACTACATTTCATAAAAATCCCAATTTACTATTCACAAACCCTAACTCATGCAAATTTCAAGGAATCATGAGGTTCAAGGGTTAGAATCTTACCACCAATGGTCACACAACCAAGGATTGATGGCTCCTCAAGCTTCAATGGAGGTAGAAACTCTCAAAACCCCAATTTTCACCAAAGGGCCGAATTTTTGAGAGGTAATATCTCTCTCCACAATGCTCCCCACTCAAAACAAAGCTAGGATTATGAAAGAGGGCGAGATTCTAAGCGATTTAGGCTTTTGAATCATCCAAAACCATCAAGGTTTGATCTCTCTCTCTCTCTCTCTCTCTCCTTCCTTTCCTCTTTTTTCTCTTCTTCTTCTCCTTCTCTTTGTTTTCTGGCGACGGGACTTGGGGGGGGGGTTGGGGGTTCATTTTGGCTTTTAGTCACTTAACATAGGTTAAGTGGCTTTAAGCGGGTATTGGTTCGTCTATCTATTCAACTCCAATAATTACCAAACTTTACCCAAAAGTCTGGAATATTATTCTAGGAATATTACTATTTTTATTTTTATATTTTGGGTACTTTTGCCAGTACCCATTTATACCCCTTAATTTTCACTGAGTACACTTTTTAACTCCAAAGTGACTCAGATTCATTTAATTAAGCCTTATACTTAATTTCACTCACTAAAACATGTTTAATTAATTAATTACACTTGATTTCCTAATTAATTAATATGGGCTATTATAGTCACCCCACCTTTTAGCGATTTTGTCCGCAAAATCAAGAACGTACCTGTCCTTAAACTCAGGATATTGCCGGAGAAGCTCATCTTCCCGCTCCCAAGTGGACTCTTCAGGCGTCCTTCCTTCCCATTGGACTTTCACCATAGGAATAGATTTATTTCTCAGCTTCTTCTCATCTCTTTCAAGTATCTTCAGTGGTCCAATAGGAGTCTTCAAATTCTCCCGGATTTCAACATTATCAGGTTGAACCACATGAGAAGGATCAGCTACATATTTCCTCAGCTGAGAAACATGAAACACATCATGCAAATTTGCCAATTGCGGAGGTAAGGCAAGCTGGTAGGCAACCGGTCCCACCCTACGAAGAATCTGGTAGGGTCCAATAAATCTCGGACTCAGCTTCCTCACTCCAAGGGCTCGTCCCACACCCGTAACCGGTGACAGCTTCAGGAACACATGATCTCCCTCCTCAAACTCTAGAGGTCGATGCTTGAGATCATAGTAACTTTTCTGACGATCCTGAGCCTTTTTCAGACGATCCCTAATCATTTTGATCTGCTCAGTAGTCTCCTGAACAAAATCCAATCCAAACCGCTCTGTGTCTCCAACCTCTGACCAACAAGTAGGTGTCCTACACCTGCGACCATACAAGGCCTCGTAGGGAGCCATACCCAGACTAGCATGAAAACTATTATTATACGAAAACTCAACCAGCGGGAGATATCGATCCCATGCAGTACCCTGCTCCAGGGTGCAAGCCCTCAGCATATCCTCCAACGTCTGAATGGTCCTCTCAGTCTGACCATCCGTCTGTGGGTGATAAGCAGTGCTCAGTCTCAACTGAGTGCCAAGAGCCTCCTGCAATGCTCCCCAGAAGCGAGAAGTGAACTTCGGGTCCCGATCACTAACAATGCTCTCAGGCACCCCATGAAGCCTCACAATCTCCTTCACATAGAGCCTAGCCAATCTCTCCGCAGAGAAATCTACCCGAACTGGCAAAAAGTGTGCGGATTTTGTCAATCTATCCACAATCACCCATATAGAATCATAACTAGCCTGTGTTCGCGGCAATCCCACTACGAAATCCATGGAGATACTCTCCCATTTCCATTCAGGAACATCCAGAGGTTGCAACATACCAGAAGGCTTTTGATGCTCAATCTTTACCTTCTGACAAATGAGACACTTAGAGACAAATTCGGCAATATCTTTCTTCATACCAGGCCACCAGAAATTCATCTTTAGGTCCTGATACATCTTTGTAGCTCCCGGATGAACTGTAAAATGACCCTTATGAGCCTCTGTCATCACTTCTTCCGCCAACTGCCTAGGTACAACTACACGACCCTGATATAATAGTATACCCTCATCATTGCAGGATACACCACTCTGACCTTTTAGTCGTCTAGCACTTTCATTTTGCAGTTGGGCTTCTTTGATTCTGGTCATCAGTTCATTCTCAATGCTTGTGATTTCAAAGCCACAAATTTTACATGGAAAGATTTTAGATAATTGAATATCTCTGAACCTCTCAATCACATCATAATCTCTGATCATCATGCTTGATATACTCACGGATTTTCGGCTCAGTGCATCCGCTACAACATTAGCCTTACCAGGATGATATTTCAATTCAAAATCATAGTCCTTTAGGAACTCGGTCCACCGTCGTTGTCTCATATTCAGCTCCTTCTGATCAAACAAGTATTTCAAACTCTTGTGATCGCTG